ATTGGGGAAACTAAACAACCACTACAACACTCAGGCCAACACACCCAACACTCAGCCTCAGCACTTGACTTTTACATTTGAAGGATAAGGGACACTGTTAAGGTTCTCAGTCATCCAGATCATAGTTATCCAAAGAAGGTTAAAATCAAGGGCAACTAGACTTGGTTGAAGATGAGGGACACTCTTCTGATGACAACCATGTACTAGTTTGGACAGGGAGGACAGATGGTTGAGTGAAAGAGGCCATTTACACCAGAATAGAGAGACCATCGCTGAACCAGACCGGAGGGCTAAGAAGACACCACTTATCCCCCACCTACAGTCCTTTCATCTCTTCCCTGGAGGGGGAACAGACATTCCCATTTGGCCACATCTGACAATGCCCACAACAGTCGTTCAGACTTGGCCTCACGTGACTCCAAAGACCATAACACCTGTCGTTAATGCAGCCAGGAGCACTAACAAACCAAGTGGTATCCATCACCTTGAAAATGACCCCACAGAGGTTAAATAGCTGGGATTCCCTACCAATCAGTCAGAATTAAAGAAGCCCCTTGGACAAGAGGCGAAACGCCTTCAAGTATCTTCAAACAAGTCCAGTTGCATCGCATTACATATTCATGGCTGGGATATTTGTTTTGAATTCTCTTTCATGTTATCGTTTACACTCATGTATCATGGACTTTTCAGAGGATACATTCTTACAAGATAAAGTTCAAATGTAATTTTTAACTAACAGTGTCCCATTCTAGTCCCAGTGATAGAGATACTAAGGTTTGAACCTGACTTGTTTCCTGTAAAGTTGAAATCCACCCTGAAAACAGAAATCCCATGTGTTATTCAAAGCTCTGGCATATTTCAATCACTGTGTGAACTACTGTCTATGTTCAGCGGGTACAGAGGGAGTATAGAAACGTGTATGTTTTCTTTACAATGTTCCTTTTTATCAGAGGATACATCTGAACCATAAATGCACCTATATGTCAGGGCAAGCAGTCATCTCTGATCACAGTCAAAAGAGCAAACAGAGTGTCTTTTACTTTTCTGCAGTGAGCTGAGAAGCATCTTCTCTTTCAGGGTTAAGAAATGAAACAACCCTGTTGATCTTTCAGCTCAGTGCTGAGTGGTTTTATCACACACAGCGGCACAATATTGAGCAGTGTCAAAGTCCAACCAGACAATCTTCTGCACATCAATCAGCCTGAGTCCCAGCAGCTGACAAAGATGAAATGACAGTGGATGGATTGGAGGCAATAAGCTGATGATCTGTCATCCCAGCAGCTGATGGACAGAGACGTTTCAGCAGCAGGTTTACAGAGAGGGAGATTAAAAGGCGTTGCAATGAACAGAAAAGAAGTCACTCAAGTTTGAGAATGAAGAATGATTTAAGAGCACGTCACTGTTTAAAAAAGTACCACTGACATCCTGAAAGTAGTGCTTATTTAAATGTTGTTTTGTATTAAATATTCAGTGGTAGAAAGTAACATTTACTCAAGAATTATACTTAAGTATAATGCTAAAAAAATAAGGGATCACATCAGATCCTGATGAGCAAAATATTTCAATGTTAAAAAAGCACATTACGTAGCAACGGTCAATGGAAACCAAAATCACTAACTGATTGAGGGCTGGATTCACAATCAGAACACAGGCTCATCCAACTTGCATGACTATCATCACTGCAACTCATAATGTGACTCAGTAGTGTGTATGGCCATGTGCACTCCCGACAACATCTGGGCATGCTGCTGATGAGACGGCTGATGGTGTCTCGATCAGGGCATCAGCGAGCTCCTGGAAGGTCTGCGGCACTACTTGGTGGCTTCAAATGCACCGATACATAACGTCCCAGAGGTTCTAACTTGGATTAAAGTCAGTAGAACATAAGGGCCAGACAATTGCATCAATGCTTTCATCATCCAGGAACTACACACACTAGGCCACATGCTGCTGGGCATTGTCCTGCATCAAGAGGAACACAGCGAGCACTCTACCAGTGTAAAGAATGACAGTGGCGCTGAGGATTTCATCCTGGTACCTAACAACAGTCAGGGTACTATTAGCTAGCACATGGAGGTCTGCGTGACCCTCCAAGGATATGCTCCTCAGACCTTCACTGATCCGCCGCCAAACCGGTCATGCTGTACGATGTTGCAGGCAGCACAACATTCACCACAGCCTCTCCAGACTTCTGTCACATGTGCTCAGTGTGAAATGCTCTCATCTGTGAAGAGAACAGGGCGGCAATGGCGGAACTGCCAGTTCTGGTGTTCTCTGGCAAATGCCAATCAAGCTGCCCAGTGCTGGGCTGTGAGCACAGATGCAGCTAGAGGATATCGGGCCCTCATGCCACCTTTGGGGAGTCTGTTTCTGGCAGAAAGTTTGGTAAGAAACAAGCACACCAGTAGCCCGCTGGAGGTCATTTATAGGGCTCTTCCTGTTCTTCCTCACACAAAGGAGCAGATACCTGCTGCTGGGTTGATGCCCAACCTGAATGGGCTGCAGGTGCCGCCTCATGCTACCAGTAGTGACAAGGACACTAGCAAAATGCAAAACTAGAGAACAATCAGTCAGGAAGGGTAAGGAGAAAGCAATTGTCTGTGGCAACTACCTGCAAAACCATTCCTTTTTGGGGGTTGTCTTGCTGTTGCCTCTCACAATCGCTTACGCTTCCTAACTGGACAGATTGATATTCTGAAGTCTAATTGACATTATACTGTCATGATTAATTGTTCCCTTATTTTTTTTGAGCAGTGTAGTTTTAAAGTATTTGCTTTACTTGATTACTTTCATTTTCATTCATTTCTACTCCACTAAATTCCAGAGGCAACTATTGTACTTTTTACCCCGGTTTAGTCGCTGATATGGGTCAAGCTCTACCAAACTCTAAAAATGCAGCATCCTACATTTACCAAAATGCAACCAGTGGCATTATTTTGTTAAACACTTCCTACCTTGTAAATGGACATATTTTTAATGCTGCGTTCCAGTCGCCGGCTGACATGAAAGCGTTCCAGGTGTAAATATAGCCATTTTAATGAAAACCAGTGACATAAGTATACGTTACTCGTTAACTGTTGTCCTATCTAGCTACATTGGTTGATAATCTGCAAGTAAATGTTGTATATTTCCAAATGATTTCACATTGTTTGGCATTTTTAAAGGTTTTCAGATGACTTTGACACTGTTTACCGTAACCAACTATCTAATAACACTGGCGAGATATGTCAACATCAATCATCAAACCATCAATACAGGTTTTACTGCAATGACAGTATTATCCTAATTAAATACAGGCAAATACACTTTATGTTGCCTTTTAGTTGACGATTTACCATTTACAATATGCACGCTTCCATGGGTGCTGCTATTGTTACATGTAAGACAACAGCCTCTTCATGAAATGGGATCGATGGAATTGCAGGAACTCCAACTTTGAGTGGCGTTCAGTTGTACTTTTCCTAGTTGGGTTGAGTTCGGAGTTGTCTGGAACGCAGCGTCAGACTCATGTCCGACTTGCGATGACATCATCAATCAGGAAGCCATGTTACAACTGTCTTTTAATAGGATGAACAGCACTCCCCATGTCTAATAAACAAACTTCAGTGCTTTTGATTTTTCCTATCAATTAAGGAATGATCAAACAAAGTACGCTTGTAGGACATAAAATAAAGAAAAACACAAATTCGAGTCCACAAATAAAATGTTTTTGTATTTATTTACTGCAACAAAACTACTATATTTCATACATTTTTCCACTGTACATCTACATACTGACACCAACAGTACTCTGGAGGAGAGAAGACAAACAAATCTTTAGGAGGCTCTCTTCAGTCAGACTGTATAAACAGTACAGACAGAACACAACAGTGGAATATGTTTGTTCCCAAAATGAACAATGTTGTTCTTGAATACTCCTTCTCTGCAACAGAATACTCAGACATCAGACATTTTTCCTTATTGATCAGAAACAGTTTTCAGTTTCCAAGAAAAACTAGTGTTCAAAGATAAATTCATGACTGTTTTGTAAAGAACAATACTTATAGTCACTATTAAGGTTAGAGAAAGTAATTACTGGATGTTACTGGAGGTTTGATCGAAGAAACAGTGGCCTGCGAAAGTGTCCCGGAGCACCGAGCCCCTCATCTGCTCAATCATTAACTTCTAATACATCAGTTCATTTTATACAATGACAGTACACAATTCAAATTGCATTCATTCCTATAACCCTTGAAATGCCAATGTGTTTGTTGAAAGACAAACTAAGCAGTGGCCATCATGTTGATGGCTCTTGAAACTCGTGGCAGCAATAGTTTTGGAGGTCAGGTGTTCTAGATATTTAATCATTTCCGTAATATAAAGGTTTATAAAGGACAAATATGTGACTGCCTGGGGCCTGGGGTTGGCCTGTTCTCTGTCCTTTTCTTTCCAGGTCTGACTTCCTGTTTGGTTGGACACGCCCACCTCGTTGGTGATTGCAGCCACCTGTTTAAGTCCTTAAAAAGCTGTGGTGAACCAAGATGGCCCTCTTCCTCGCGACCTCTCTCCTGGAAGGCGGGTGCCTTTCAAGAGCTCCTTTTCTTTTGGTTGTTTGCTTTGAATATGATGAGTTTAAGTTTACTTGTGTTTTGAGTTAATTATAAGTTAAGGTAACTTTAATAAAACCTTATGATTCAGTTAAACTGTTTTCTGCGTGGACCTTGCCTCTTTGTTATGTTCTTCCACGAGCTGGGCATAACAAATATTTATTTTACTGCTTTATTGGCATTTCAGTGGTTATCCATTCAATATAACCTCAGACTAGACTAATATAAAAACAAAATGACATCAAGGCCGCATAACATACTAAATCAACATTTAATCTGCTGTACCTGTTGTCGGTGAGCAACATCACACTTAACTTTGAGTGATTTATGTTTGTGTATGTATGATATATATATATATATATATATATATATATATATATATATATATATATATATATATATATATATATATATATATATATATATATATATATATATATGAATTAAAATCACAGTTGACAATGATTCTGATGCATGATGATTTGACATCTGGCAGCAGCAGTTCATACAGTATAAGGCCTTCGGTGTCAGTAACTGTGTTCATCCACAGCAAACCACTCGTACAGTCTTTAGCGATTTCCATTTCTCAGTTCTGATTATTTAAACATGGAGTTGAAGGCTCGTCCAATGATAAGCCGGCGAATTTCACTTGTGCCGGCGCCGATTTCGTACAGCTTTGCGTCACGCAAATATCGTCCCATGGGGTAGTCGTTGATGTAGCCATTCCCACCTATTGACAAGTGACACATTATTTTTTTAATATAATTGGTGCGCAGTAGTGGAGCAGGTTGCATTACAGCCCAATATACTGCAGGAATAAAACGTATTATATATATATATATATATATATATATATATATATATATATATATATAGATAGATAGATAGATAGATAGATAGATAGATAGACTAAATAAGTTGCTGAACTAACATCTTTTACTCAACCAATGTGTATTTCACACCTGCCGCCTCTTTACATCCATACTATACAAAGCATATTCCTTCTCTCGATTACCCTAGAAGTTAAAATCAAAGAGATAACATCCTCCATGTTCACACTATGCTGTCGAGTAAGCCTCCGCTCTCTTATCCACACTGCAGCCATTCACAAGTCAACATGCTATTTATTAACCAAATTAGCTGCGCCTGTAGAGCCCTGCTTCCAGTTCCTGACAATGACGTTAACCCCAGGTGAAGTCTTCATCACAGTCTAATCTCTATGTTGCGTGACCAATGATTTGTGTCTATAAACTATAGTCTCCTGTCTGAAATAAATAAATCCAAACTGGAATGTATTTATACGTTTTCCTGTAATGAGAAAATCATAATAGATGCCTTAATTTTAAGGTTCAGCTGTCATTTGAACCGCTCCCTTTCTTGGCACTTACCCAAACACTGAATGCCATCCAACGCAACCTGAGTGGCGTTCTCTGCACAATACAGGATCACTCCAGCACAATCCTGCAACAACAACACAAGTCAACACAGTCACTGTGGTCAAAACATAACAAGTTAGGGAAAGGTAAAATAAACAAACTTATCAAGGAAGGATATTATGCAAAGACTTGTAAAAAATAATAAAGCATCATCATCAGTCTTACTTAAGTTCTGTCTGAGGCATATTAAAACTTTTAATGCAAAATTCAATAAACTCAATAGAGTGCAAATCTCCACCAGCTGTGTGTCTGGGTGCATGTGGGTGGGGAATATGAGTGCAGGACAAGCTGTGTGTCCAGCGTGTATGCATGAGAGCAGTGGAATGAGGGGGAGAAACTTTTTGCATTTAATAGTATAAAGGTAATAGTAATAATAGTAAAGTTTTCTTATTAGGGCTCTACAGTGGGAGTATTTCACTTGCATTTGCCCCTAAAAATAGATATGTGTGAACTGGAATAATAATGTAGCACAGTGTGGGAGTAAAAAACTACCGTAATCTTCTGCTGCTAATCGTTCAAAACATGGTTGAACTAGCAATCGGGAGCCAGTGTTAACCACATGTAGACTTTACTTGGGCGGGGCACCCAGGTATATTTTTTGGCCTATTTTAGCATTTTGCAGAGAAACACATAGAGAGATGTTATCTGGTATTAAAAGATGGGGACACCATGGATATTTTACAAGCAGGATTAGGTAAAGTAACAGTAAACAGTGATCACAGCAGAGCAGATGTCAGTCGGTACCATGTAGCCTAGGTTTCAATAGGCTACGTCAACAACAAGCCTCCTTCACACGTGGCACACCTGCTGCTGTAAAAACAGAATCGCGGGTAGATAAATTCAAAAGAGTTCTGTGTCTTTTTGGCGACTTTATAAAAAGCACTGCTGATGGAGAAAGTCAGCAGACACATACAGGGAGAGAGAAACAGAAAAGGCCAGGATGAGCCGGTGTTTTTGCAGTAAGAGACCAGATGTGTATGTGTGCGCATGTGTGTGTGAGTGTGGCGAGAAGATAACTGAAGGGAAAAGCAAGGCGAGCAGATATAAGGTTAAAAATAATAAATAAATTTAAACAAAAGATATTGAACTACACCCTGCCACAGTGCCAGTCATTCTGTGGGAAACACTGGGAGCACTGGAGAAATCCCAGTGGGCCGCTCGCTCTGCGGGCCGCTTGAGCAGCCCATTAACTATATCGGGTACATGTTAAGTAACAATGGCAGCTAACGGCAGATCAATCATTTCAAAATATTATGTATTTTCTATAAATCAATCATTGATGCAATATTTACATTTGCAAGTAAAAATATCTTCACACAAATGCATGGATATAATGAATTTTTAACATTTTCTTGATTGAAGTGGAACTTTTTTTGCAAAATTAAATACATTTTTGTAAACAGGATGCTGCAGGAGTAGATGAGCAACTGAAAAACCTCTCACCATTGAACTGTAGTGTCCTTTGT